AATTTCAATTTTTAAAATAAATTAATTTAATTGTAAATAAGTTTACACTTACGAAAATATTCTTAGTTCTTTGAATGGCAAATGTCATGTTTGACATTTTTACTTTTCAATTAAATTTTGACAAAGGAACACTATATCGTTTTTCTCAATCATTAATATGAAAAGTCGAAATTTCTTTATTTGGTTTCCACTTAAACCAGAAATTCACTGTTTTAAAATGATAAACAAAGATTATAAATTAAGTACAAGTACATATTATGAGATATTTTTCTTAACAATACAAAATATTTTTTGTTTAAATATTTTTAAACATTTACGTATTTTCCTTTCCTTAATTCAAAAAAACATTTACGTAAAAATAAACTAAATGTTACGTTTGTTTCGGTATACTCTCACTTTACAAAAATAAATATTAATAATCAAATCATTCCTCCATCCAATTAGATAATTAAATTTAAAAATATAACATGAAAAAAAAAGCTTTCAACAATATAAATTTATATTTAAAAGAAAAAAAAAATAAAATAATAATAAAATTTAATTAGAACAAAATAAATATAATTATTACAATAAAATTTTTTTGTGAACAAAACATAAACGAAAACCAAGTTAATTATGTAATAATTATTTTAATATTAATACTTATTTAGAAAAAAAAGAAAAAACGAAAATCCAAAAAAAAATTTAAATAAAAATTTATACAATTATACTTATAAATATATGTATATATAATATATATAATATATTCATGATAGAAAAAAACTTTAATGTTATCCCGTAGTGTGATCAGAACTTAAAAAAATAAAACTTATTAAAAAAAATTCAATATCTATAATTTCTTTTTAATTTAGACATATTTAATTATATAATCTTAAATAAATTATTATATAGATATTATTATATATTTATATTGTATTTTATATCCATATACAAAATATATACTAAATATTTATTCATAAGCATATTATAAAAACATAAAAAAAAAATAAAAAGAAAACCCATAACCTTAAATCAAAGATGCAAAAGGGATTCTTTTTAAAAGTAATCATAAAATTAAATATTAAAAAGAAAAATATCCCCCGACAGAGTACACTGAATAATAAAAAATTTATAACAATAACAATTTGTATAACAGTTTTTTAAAAAAAAACACAGTTTTCCCAAGTTATTCAATACCAAAAAAAAACAAACACAAAAATTCTCTCTTTGTATAAAAATATAATTTGAAAAATATTTAAATTTCTCCTTAAATTTTTCTCTTTTTTTGTCACAAATAAAAAATAATTATACTGATATACTTATTTATTTTCATAATTTCTTTTTAAATATAAAATTATATAATTTTCCAATGCATAAAAATATTCACCTTATCACTTTTTAAATGTGCAGTTTCATATTAATACATATACATATTTAAATCGTGTTTATTATATTATAATAAAATATAATATACATATACATGGTTACAACATATTATATAAGGATTTGTGGTGCTACAATAAAAATCATGTACTCATTTCAAAGGAAAAAATAAACAAAATTATAATATTACTATGTGAGTATTCATAATACAGGATTAATATAATAATAATTTCAAATAGCAATAATAAAGTATAAATTCACAATATTGAAAACAATAATTGTTCTGTCAAAATAAACTGTTATAAAACTATATAGATATGTATATCTGATACCATGTTGTTTAAGTGAATTCAATAAAGGTGCTTCTTTTACCAAAATTCAGATATATTCTCAATTTAACTTATTCAGATATATAAAATTTTAATTAATGAACAAAATATATAGATTGCAGACTAATTTTGAATTTTGGTAAATGACTTTTTATAGTGTTGCAAACAATTTTTAAGAGTATAGTATACATGTGTATATCAGATAACATATACAATTAATTAAATTCTGCAAAAAATAACTGCAGCATTTCATATTAATAAATTTACTTTTCAAATTTAGCTTACATTTTTATTTACATACATATATATAACATTAAAGTTAAACTGTAAAATATACGTATACTAACTGGTTTCAAAATTCAATAATTTCTCATAATTCAGCCTATAAGTTCCAATTTTTGAATTGTGTAGCATACAGTATAACTGAAATTTTGAAGTCACAAACTTTATACATATGTAAGTGTAAAGATTGTTTTTAATATTTAGCAATTTAAATGTATAACAGTTTAGTTGTATAACAGTTTGACTGTATAACAGTTTAGCCATAAGTTCACAAAAATTTTAATAATATTCTTTCCATTCGAACCTGGTGATTTTTGAAAAAATATACATATACAAATTCATAAACATTTATGTATATATAACTTTAAATACATTTACGTTTTAATATTATGTAAATTACATACATTCTGTTTAACCATACGCTAAAACTTAAAAATAAAATAATGAAAAGGTATAATAGTAAAATAACAAAAAAAAAGTCAAAAACAAACATCTTACATATAACTGAATTTTTCTTAATTTATTTTATTAATTTATTATACTACAATTTTTATAAACAATTTTTTGTCATTAAATTATGCATTATTAATTTCATATTTATTATTATTATATTAAAATAAAACATAGATGTTAACATTTTACTAACTCAAACTATAAAATTATATAACATTGTAATATTTTAATTCTTTTTCGACATATTAATCGATAAAGAAAAATATATAGAAGAAAAAAATTTAAAATCAAAATATACAGTAAAAGAAAAAAAAGAAAAAAAAAAACTACAATTTCTATAATGAAAAAAAAACACACTTTAAACTTGTGAAAGAAAAAAAAAGTATTAATAAAACAAGAATATATTTATAATAAATAAATATACAATATTTATATATACATAAATACATAAATATTTATCATTATATATAATTGTATAATTTTATGTAAATTTGATATTTATAATATACTTTATATATTAAATATAATAACAAGATTTAGATGTATGTCAAAAATAAGGCAACAATTTTAAGAATATCGAAGAAAAAAAAAATAATAATGTTTCATTTATATAACAAGAAAATATATATATTTAAGAAATAAAACAAGAAAAAAAAACCACAAAAAAATTAATAAAAATTATAAGTATTATAAAAGTAGTAAAAAAAAGTCACACAAAAAATGAATATTTGTACTTTTTCATGTTGAAAATTGATACGATAATTATATTTAAGACAAATAAAAATAAATGATTTAAAAATGCAATGAGATCTCTAATTTCTTTTTCCAATCTTTTAATTTCCAATTTTATAGCGTTGATTATATATCGAGTATTTCAATCATATGTTAAGGTATACTTAGAAGATTCTGTTATCAAAAATTTTCTCAACCGTATATATATGGCTCCAAATTTAACACTTTTTCGAAAAGCTTTTGAAGAAATATGCTTATTTTTACACCCTTTGAGATAGGAATCTGAAATTTTTATAACATTTTTAAAAAAAATACCATAAATAGTATAACAAAATGCAAGTTAAAATTAACTGTCATCTAACACCGTTTTTTTTTTTTTTTTCAAATTTTTTATATAATTTTCCTTCCATACTATAAGCTGAACGAGTCTGAAATTTTAGTAACCTTTAGATATTAATAAATAGTTTATTTCGTTAGGAGAATTTTTTTATTATTTATAGTAATCTAATAATTTAATACTTATAATCTATTTTTCTTTAAAACTAATTTGCTACTTTAATTTACAAAGACTTGTCCTATGACAGTTTCTTTTTATTTTTGTGTTATCGTTGTCCAGGAGTTGATCTCCTCTTTCAAAACAAAATTTTTTAACTCATCCTGAATATATGTAATTATTTATAATATTTTAGTATGGGAAAGTAATTTAAAATGTGGTAAAAACAAAATACAAATTAATATTATTAAACCTTATCAATTAAATAAATAAAGCTGTGTCAAACCAATGGTTTGTATTGTAGCACTTTTTCCTTCAACAAGTGAAAATACTGCTTTTAAATACAGTCTATGTATATCTATCACACTACTAAAATTATTTTAATTCATATACGAAACTATTTCTAGGATTGCATATATTTAGGACGCTAATCCTAAATATATGCAATCCTAGAAATATGAAATCTTTGAAATAAAGCAAAAATAAATTTAAAGAAACATAATAATGACTTTTAATGGCATGGAATTAACCGTTAGGTTTCAGCGTTTATAGAAATTTAAAAGAGCTTGTGGTTTCGGAAATAAAGGATGCCAAATATTAAAATTCTACGAATTTCGGGAACTGATAACTTGAGAGGGGGTGGAGATTGGAAAAAATTTTCTTCTAACGAAATAAACTATTTATGAATATCTAAGAGCTGCTAAAATTTCAGACTCCTGTAACGTACGGTGTAGAAGAAAAACGGTATCAAAAATTTGAAAAAAACGTGTTTTAGATAATGGACGGACCGTCGACAGAGTGAAACTAATAAGCATTTTTTTTCAAAAATTTTTTGAATAAATTCAATGCATACATATACACGTATAACCTAAAATTTTTTAATTTTATATTTAAATATTTTTAAATTTTTCTCTTCTCTAAATTTTTTAGAAAACATCAAATTAATTTAAAATTAATTATAAATCTTAATTATGATCTAATTAGTTTAAGTGTAGAACTGTCAACATGAGCAAATATTTGCCATATAACAAAAGTTTTTCATATTTTAAATAGAACGGCAACGTGAAAAATCAAATATTTAGCTGGAGTGTAATATCAAATGACAATTGGAAAATTGAGTTCTTTAGTTAGCACCTTTAAAACACAAATTTTTTTCTCTTTTTTTTGACAATATTTTGACAACATCAATTTTTTTTTTTTTTATTTATCAAAATTTTTATAGTGTATTATCATTTTTAAGGATATTTTCTACGTACATCTGCGCATTTCGAGCTTTCAAAATTGTTAAAAAGGACATTATTTTGACTGTATTGATTCTATATTTTACATATTTGTATGTATGTATATTTCGAAAAGGGATATTATTATTGTAATAAAGTGCCAAAGAAAATTTTAAAGTGTTTTTCTTCGCTCCTTTAAAAAAGAGGAAAATCTATAAATAAGGTAATAATAAAAATTATTTAAAATAAAATCTGACAATAAATAAGACTATTTAATGTTTTTGTAAAAAAAATTTTATAAATTTTGCGAGATTTCCAATTTAAATAAATATGAAAAAAACGTAAGTGTTCCAAATCCAAAAATGTAAGAAAAATAAGGAAAGAAAGAAAAAAAAGAACATCTAAGGCGTTTCCCCTTATTTTTTCTTTTTCTTTATCTTAAAAAAAAACAAAATAAATAATAATTTCAAAAAACTTTTTAAATTTTAAATGAAAAGGAAATATTACAAATTAAATATGTAAAATTTTAATTAAAATTAAATTTTAAAAAAGTAAAATTCTACTTTTCAGAAATATGGCTTTGAAGATATAAGGAAAATAAAACTAAGAAGAAGAAAAAGCATAAAATAATAAAAACATCCTTTTCAACAAAAAAGTGAATCCTGTACATCATTTGAATGATAGAAAGGAAGGACGAAACAAAACAAAAATATAACAATGGATAAATTAATTTGGATATTGTCCTTGGTCTTCTTATTTTGTGCATTTAGTTCAGGTAATTAATTTTTAAGAATAATTTTAATAATATTCACTTAAATAATATAATACCCACTCAGTTCTTAATACTGTAGATAAAACTTTGATTTATTTAAGGCTCTATAATTATCTCTCAAAAATATAATTATTGTTTTGCATTGATATTTTACTTTTAAATCAAAACATCTAGTTCAAATCGTACAAAATTAATTACTTATTAATTATAAATTAATTAAATATTTATTAATTTCCCAATCGAGACTTCAACTAAATATTTTGAAGCAAATTTCTAAAACTAACTTTTCAAAAAATATGTTATTTATATTGTATAGTGAAATCATCCGAAGATGAAGAACGTTTGGTTAGAGATCTATTTCGTGGCTATAATAAACTTATACGACCTGTTCAAAATATGACTCAAAAAGTAGGTGTTAGATTTGGACTTGCTTTTGTTCAATTGATTAACGTTGTAAGTATATTATACACAATTTATAAAACCAAAATTTTAAATATTCATAAAAAAATATTTTCAAATTAATTTTTTTAAATCTTAACTTTATTTTAGAATGAAAAAAATCAAATTATGAAATCTAATGTATGGTTGCGTTTAGTCTGGTATGATTATCAATTACAATGGGATGAAGCTGATTATGGAGGTATAGGTGTATTACGTTTACCTCCAGATAAAGTTTGGAAACCTGATATTGTCTTATTTAATAAGTATATACTTATAAATATAAATACATGAATATTTTTTAATATTTTATTATTTTTAGTGCCGATGGTAATTATGAAGTTCGTTATAAATCGAATGTATTAATTTATCCAACTGGTGAAGTTTTATGGGTACCTCCAGCTATATACCAAAGTTCCTGTACCATTGACGTAACATATTTTCCATTTGATCAACAAACATGTATTATGAAATTTGGTTCATGGACATTTAATGGAGATCAAGTATCATTAGCATTATATAATAATAAAAATTTTGTTGATTTATCAGATTATTGGAAATCTGGTACATGGGATATAATTGAAGTTCCAGCATATTTAAATGTTTATGAAGGTGATGGAAATCATCCAACTGAAACCGATATTACTTTTTATATCATAATTAGACGGAAAACACTATTTTATACTGTAAATTTAATTCTACCGACAGTATTAATTTCATTCCTTTGCGTTTTAGTATTCTATTTACCAGCTGAAGCAGGAGAAAAGGTATAAAATTATTAACAAATTATAAAATTTATAATTGATATAATTAACATAAAAATTTAATATTAAATTAGGTTACATTGGGTATTAGTATTTTGCTGTCATTGGTTGTGTTTCTGTTGCTTGTATCGAAAATTCTGCCCCCAACATCTCTTGTACTTCCGTTAATAGCCAAATATTTATTGTTTACATTTATTATGAACACCGTTTCAATTTTAGTTACAGTTGTTATTATAAATTGGAATTTTAGAGGACCACGTACGCATCGTATGCCAATGTGGATTCGTTCAGTATTTTTACATTATTTACCGGCATTTTTATTAATGAAAAGGCCTAGAAAAACACGTTTACGTTGGATGATGGAAATGCCAGGTATGTCAATGCCAGCACATCCAGCTCATTATGGTTCACCAACTGAAATGTCGAAACATATAAGGTATAAATCTATTTTGATTTTGTCATTCTCAAATATAATGAGAAAATAAATTTTAATATGTTTTAATAGTGCTATTGGTGCCAAACAATCTAAAATGGAGGTAATGGAATTATCTGATTTACATCATCCAAATTGCAAAATTAACCGAAAAATTAATACTGGTGAAGTTGGTGGTATAGGTGACCCATGTCGTAGAGAAAGTGAAAGTTCAGATTCAATATTATTGTCACCAGAAGCAAGTAAAGCTACTGAAGCAGTTGAATTTATAGCTGAGCATTTAAGAAACGAAGATTTGTATATTCAAGTAAGTAAAAATGAAGACTAAAATTTTAACTACAATTAATTTAACCTTGTTCAAAAATTAACTTACTTTCTTTATATTTTCTTCAAATTTTAGACTCGAGAAGATTGGAAATATGTTGCAATGGTCATCGATCGTTTACAATTATACATATTTTTTATTGTAACAACTGCTGGCACTGTTGGTATTTTAATGGATGCACCACATATCTTTGAATACGTTGATCAGGATAGAATTATTGAAATTTATCGTGGCAAATAAATTAACAAAAACGAACGATATTCTATTCGTAAAATTAAAAAAAAAAACAAAATCGATAAAATAAATAACTTTGAGAAAATTATTATAATACCCTAATAATTATATTGAAAAGAAAAAATAAAAAATTGTTTGCCAAAAACTTTTTATGTAATTCTAAGAAAATAATATAAAACATTGGATAAAATTTTAATAAATTTTTTTTTTTTTGTGAAAATAAAAATTGTAAAAGAAAATTTGATATATGAACTATGATCAAAAATCTACTCAGAAAGATTTAATTACCTACACTTAAGATAAGTTAAAACATTAGAATTTCCAATAAAAAAAATAAATTAACAAAGATTAAAAACAAGAGAAATGATTATTATAAAAAAATGTTCTCAAAATTTTGTTTCTATTTTAAAAAAATAAAAGTAAATGTATTTTAAATTCACTGTTGCTTTATACTACATCACTTACTTCTATTTTGTAATCAGTTATAAATTGGATTATGTATAATGTTGCTCAATATTGTGAAACAATACAAATAAGACAAAAATTAATAATGATTCATAAAAGAATGTACCAAGACTAAATTATTTCGACAAAGATTCAGATATACTTTGAAGAAGACAAATTTATTAATTGTTCATTTTTTAACTGTGACTCCCAATGAAACAAATTTCAAAATCATAGTCTTTGTTTCTATGTCAGAGTCTTATTTTTAAATTTAAAAATTTATAAAATTCATTAATAATAATTCACAGTTCTTCAAATAAAAATTTATTAGAAGCTTATGAACATATTAAAATGAACTATTCTTCAAAGTATTTTGAACTCAAAATTGGAACCCAGCTGAACTCTATATAGACAAATAATTTTTTTTTATATTTATATTTTGTAACATAGTTTGAATTGAAATTAATATATTTAATTATTTAGAAAATAAATTAAAAAACAAAAATTGTAAAATTGTTGCATAATATATAAAACATATTCTAATGTGGAATTTAAAAAAATTTTATATAAATAGATATTATAATTAAAAATTGACAAAAGAAAAAATATCATCGAAATAAAACTTTAAAATTACAGCAAAAAAAAAATAACTAATTTTTAAAAATCACTTAAAATCTTTCAAAATCAAAATAAAATAAAAAATTTATATCACAATTATTTTACTATAGAATCAATCAATTCAATAAAATATTAGAGAAATTACGAACAAAAAATAAATATAAAATAATTGTGAATGAAAGTTTTAAATATAATAGAATAAAAATTTAATATTTTAAAAAGCACAATAACTAGGAAATATTCTAATTTAAAATAATAATAAAAAATCAAATAAAAATAAAATTCTTAGTATAAAACAAGGAAAATGTAAAAAAAAAGCTTTGTAATGTTTTATTTTGCTTTAAATTTTAAAATTAACCTTTTTTTATTTATTTGAAATTTTTTGATAAAATATTAACACTTTTATTAAAATTAAGTTGATTTAAATGTTAAGACAATCGCCAATACCCTCTGAATTTTTTATACTTTCCTCACACCTCTTTATAGTTCAAAATCAAAACCTTCTAAAGAATTATCCTTGAAGAATTATCTTCAAATACAACTGATATAGCAATTAACAAGCCACACTTAACTACAATATTTATAATTTTTTTTTTTCTAAACTAACTTCTTTAAATAAAAATTATAATTGAAAAAATTGTTAAAATAAAAATAATCTTTTCATCAGTATTGTTGTTTTTTTATATATTTTAATGATTGGACTAAAATTATTATTAATTATAGATTAATGTTGTAGAATAATCTTAAAATAAAGAAAAAATAATTAATTAAACTTGAAATTGATAAAAATGTTAATGGTAATAAAAAAGTAAAAACAATTATACAATTAAAAACTAAACCAAAAAAAAAAATATATAATAAATGAATGTTAACATATAATATTGAAGATTTAAAATATATAAAAATAAATAACGAATAAATAATTAAGAATTTAATTTAAAAAAATTATGCGTTTTAATAATAAAGAAGAAAAATCGTTTTAAATGAAATAAAAAAAAAGTGTTGTGTAAATTTAATTTTTCCTTTATATACTTACATTTCCATAATAAAATTGATTGAAATAATCATATAAGCTCAATTAACCGACCAGAGACAATTGGTTTCTCATCGTATGTTACTCGTATAACTGAGATTTTTGTCAAATATAATTAATATCAACATAGCAAAACTTCAAAACTTTTAGATGTTCATAAAATCAAAAGATTTTATGAACATCTAAAACAAAGTAAAGAACCGGAAAGAAAATTTATAGAACAAAATTTGAGATTAATAAAGTCTTGAATCTCATATTTTAGGAGTCATTGGAAAGAGTTTAACTTGGGTTAAATTTTAACATGGGTTTATTATATCAGTTAAGTTACAGAAGAAAAAATTGAAAAAAAAATTCAACTTTTCAGGAGCGCCAGGTTTAAGGCCCAATAACTTGAGAAGGAAGGAGAGTGAAGTAAATTGCACTCAATCGTTTCTTGTTCATTTATGTAAATTCTACCATCTCACTTCAAAATAATGTCAATTTGATTAAAACTTTAACATCTTGTACAGAAACGTTTTAGTAGTATAAATGTATTTGATTTACATCTTTCGAAATCTTCAACTATGCACAAAAATTAAATAATCAAGACGATATAGTCACATAATGAAATACCAAGAATCCATTCGAGTTCTTTTTATGAATATGAACTTGAAATAAACCAGTAACTATGAAATTTAACATAAGAACTATATTTAGGATTACCATTTTAAAAAACAATTAATTCAATATTTTTCTTTTCAAATCAATTTATTTTTCTTCAAAAAAAAAAATTACAACTAAATTATCTTTTTCACATTATCTTACATTTAATTTCTTATATTTAATTTTAATTTTTTAAATCCTTAATTTTATTTTTCTGCACGCATTAAATAATTCTTTTATTTTATTTTTTATTTAATTTATTTGTCTATTTCTCTTAAACCGTACTTTTAAATGAAATTTCATGATTCTTATTTTAATATTTTAAAGTTCTATAATAATTTTTTTTTAAAAAAATGTTTCCCTTAAAAACTAATATACATATTTTATTTTTTTATATTTTATTGATATTTCATAAATTTTTTAAATAATTTTATAAATACACAATTTAAATATTTTTTTTTTTTGCAATTTTAATTTGAATTAATTTTTTTTTAAATAATATGTATAAAGAAGAATGGAAAATTGTGAATGATATTAATACGGAATATGAAAAATAAAATTTAAATATGTATTTTTCATGAAATAATGGAAGCGCGTCCATCTTGAAAATTCATTTTTAATAATTGTAAGAAATCAAAAATTCATATATAATTGCACGGATATAAAATTATTGAAAATCAAGAAAACTTACGTTTAAATCAATCCTTTTTCCAATTTTTATAATAAGAATTTTTTTTTTACCATAACGTTAGCAAAGAAATCTGTATTTATTATATAATTTTTTTAGAATGTATATAACTATATAGTTTAACAAAAAATTTTTTTTTTTGTTAATTTGTTACTTTAGTAACAAAATTTTGTTTACCTAAATTTTCGATTATCTAATTTACATAATCAAAATAACATTTTAAATTTCTAAGTTACAAACTAAAAGTAAAATTCAAAAACTAAAACAAGTTGGTAGTAATGGAGATGGTGGTTTTTTTGGGCATGCGAAGTATGCTTAATATATATACAATATTAAGAAATTAAACTTAAAATTATTTTTTAAACTTTCTTCAATTATATAAAAATTTAAATCTTTATTCTAAAACATATAAAAGTGCACATAATATAATGATTGAATTATTTTAATTTGGAAAAAAAACTATACATACATTAAAAGAAGAAAAAAATATAAATGTGCTAATTTTCAAATTTTTATTGCTTGAAAGAAAATCAAACTTAAGTTTTTTTTTTTACAAAGTTGCATATTAAAAAGATTGCTAAAATTCTTTTTTTTTTCGGCACATTTTCAATATTAGATTACATAATTATTATATAATTATAATTAATCACAGGTGGAAAAACCGTATTTCCAAAAAAAAAAAAAATTAAATCATATTGCTAATATTGAGTACGAACCATTTGAGCTAAATAAATTATTTAAATTATTTAAGATATACATATATACATGAATAATATGTAGAAAAATGACACAAATATATTTATATAGCACCCGCCTTTGAAACACTCAGTGGAAAATACATACATGATTTTTGTATCATTAAAAATTTTACGGTCAAAATAAATGTTTTTACAGTTGTATAAAATATACTGTAAAAATTGTTAATAATTCAAAAATGAAAAATATTTTGAATTTGAGCTATGGAACTTTTAGTTTCGAAAACAAAAGTATATATTAGAAGCATAAATATTAATTGAAAATTGAAGTACTATATTAGAAATAATAAAAAAAACTTTTGTTAACCCTCTAACGTCTAACCCTTTAATATTTTTGCTAAGTCAAGTGAAAAAGTGAATAACTATCAGATATTATTGTATAATATAATTTTCTGGTGAGAATTTTTCCGTATTGCGTAACTTGTTTTTTAATAAAATGTATGCAAAATTTACTCACTTTCTTAAAAAAGATAAAAGCGATTATATAAATTCAAAACCGTTTAATTGAAAAATGGTTTTAAAATTTTTGCTCGCATTAATACGAAAGACTTGGTAATTTTTTATAGTATTTTAGTCTACATTTCAATACTTCAGTTACCACCTTGCAGTTAGATTCAAATTAGAAATCTCAGTTTTTAAACAAGCATTTTTGCCAATTTTAAAAAATTATTTATTAAAAAAACAAAGCAAGTAAAAGTTAACCGAGTTTTAACCTTTTTTCAAATAATTGTTTAAAACATAAACATTAAAATCAAATGCAGAAATTAGCATCAGATTTTCGCCAAACTTTATTTAGTTATTTGAATTCGTCAAATTTTATTGTATTCACCTGAATTCACACTATTGCATCAAGTAAAATATGAATTCTAAATGTGAACTCTTTTTCATATATTCAATTCTTACTAAAATAAAGCATTCAGTTAATTATATAAATAATATTTTTTCAGAAAAAAAACTTCTAATAACATAAATACAACTTCAAACGTATGACCGTTAATTTAAGCTAGATGTTTATTTACGTCCAAGATTGGGTAAATATTATTTTAAATGATTCAAATTTTGTTTTTTTTTATATAAAAATAAAGTCAATACTATCAATTTTTACATTTTATTTAAATATTTTTATTTACTATTTATAATTTACTCTCATTGTATCATTTTCAAAAATTTGATTTTTTTTTTTTTTTGATTTGTTACGATATACATATTATTTTATATTACTATTTTTATAATATTACGAATTTCAATATTTGTTATTAAAACCTATATCGCTAGTTTAATTATAAATGTTGTGCATTTACCATGTCTAAATAATATAAAAACATTTCGCAAAAATCTGTTTATAACTTCACGAAGGGTTATTGTAAAAAAAATAAAGAAATGCTATACAAACACATTTTTTATTTTTTTAAATATATATTTAAAATGTTTTGTATCTTATTTAATAGAATATAAGTTTAACATAAATTCATATTCTCGAAAATTCAGAACCTAAATATTAATATCGACAAAATTTTGAAAATGTTATTACATGATTTGTATAGCACTTCTATATTTAGTTACAGATACACGAAGTCGTGTTTTGTATTTTTTGATTTATAAAACGAAAAAAAAAAAATAGTTTTACACAACTAAAAATGGTTTGTAAAGATTTTAAAATTTATTTTAAATCTATATTTTAATTTACATAGTTACATAATACAAAACTTAATCCCTAATTAATTTTAAACATAATTAAAATATCAATTATAGTACTATATTAAATTACATATGTATGTAATTCATTAAAATAAAAAAAAAACATATATATTTCAAAATCTCTTTAACAATAAAAGTGATGAAAAGAACTACTGGAACTATAGGATATTCTTTTTAATTTTAAAACAATATTAACTATACAATACCGGAATTTATTATCAAAGAGATTTTTACAAATTATCAAAATTTCAACGTAAATTAATAAAATACGTTTAAATTAAATGAAAACGAAATATTTCCTAAATGAAAAAATTGTTTAAATAAAATAAATTTATATTTTTAATATAAACGCTAATGATATATGTAATTTCAATTCTCATATGATTGAATACCATTTTATGTGAAAAATATGATTTTAATTTTATAGTTTCGTTTCTAATTTTGTTTGTTTTTATATTCAGTTTTTACTTTTGCGTTTTATATGTATATTTGCATACATAACTTTTAAAAATAAAATTAAGTTTTTTCTTATTAAAATTATTTACTATTTCTTAATTTAATGCAAAAATTATTTTTGCATAGAAGTAATAAATTTGTTTAATTACTAGAATACATGATTAATGTCAAGATTTTACTTTAGAAACGATAATTTTCATCTGCCATGTGGATAGCCCAGCGGAATTTATCACGTTGCGTTTTATTGAAAATTTTTTCAATTGGAACATCATGTTTTTTACACCTATGAAGAAAAAGATTGTTTTTGTATTAAATTACGTTATTACATTATTTTTTTTCGTTTATGTTTTTAACATACCATGCAACTGATATCCTAGGATCTAAATAATTTAGTTTTGAAGTACCCAAAGCAATAGTTTTATTTTCATCACGATCAGTCTCTTGCAATTCTAATTTTTTAAGTTGTTCCTTCAGCCTTTCTAATTGTTTTAATTTTTTATCTGCATTTATTTTTTCTTTAACAGATCCGCGCCTTGCATCCTTCTTCAATTCCTTCAAATAAGTAAAATACGGTATTTATGAATACAATACGTATTAATTTGCAACGGTATATTATAACTAACCTTATATTCTGCCTCAGCATCATCTATAGCATCACGTTTAGCTTGAATTTTGCTCTTCAAATTTTCCATACTTTTTTCATGACTTTTTGGTACTGAACGTTGATGGTTACATAAAATAGCTACAGCTCGATTTGCACGATTATACGCCAACATTTTTTCAGGAATAGTTGTGCCTTCTTCAGTTAACAAATCCAATTGTCTTTGTAATGTAATTGACGCGTTATATGTACGAAATACTTTAGCAGTTAAACCTAAGGAAAGTGCAATAAATAATTCCATTAGAATATTCTCTCATAACACACATTTATAAAAAGATTTACCTTCCATCAAATCTCTTAAATGATCATTTAATATTGAAGTATTTAAACGGTCAAATAATTCATCGCCTTCCTTCTTGTTCTCTTTGAATAACTCCAAATTTTTGAATACGCGCTTTTCAACTGGTACTGCATTGTAGTATCTAATTGAATCTTTACCCAGAAAATCGAAAACTACCACATTTTCCTTCCCATCCATTTCTTTATGTAGTTCAACATGTTCTACACGAAGCGAACAACAACCTACAGTATCAGCTTGGTCTTCATCTTTTTCATTACCAGCTCTTAAAGCCAATTTATCAATAAAGTACAATGCAACAGCTCGCTGACGAATTTTCATTTCTTTTGATTTCCATTCTTCTCTGTATGTGTTACGTATTTTATTGATAAACTTATCCAACCTGCGTGCAGTTTCATATTTTTGGAAATCTTTTTCACCTTTAATTTTCGAGCTTGGATTCAACATAATATATTTTCCCTGACCTTGTACGTTCTCAATCCATGATGCTAACCATGTAACAGTATTATCATGTTTAACCTCTTTCCATCTATGACCTGCCGGTGGTTTTGGTATATTACTGTTTTTGGAACAGTTTATAATAATATCTTCTGCTCGCAATCTTCTTTTCACCATACCCATTTTCGGATGCTCACCACGACCTCGAAAAAGACCTGGCGGCTCCAAACGAAAATTACCAATTTTTTCTTTATGTCCATCAATTGTACAAAAGCCATATTCTTTTATAATAGCTTCATTTTGCTCTTTTAATGCTTGTTTTTCTTCTTTAGAACGATTTTTATTCTTTTCCGAAAGCGCTGCAAAATAGTTATGGACTTCTTTGAAATTACACTTTCCCAAATCTTTAATTACATCCTTTTCACTTTGTGTCATAGTCTTTCTCCAATCTTTGAAAAAGTTATCGTTGAAAACTTTTTTTGTTACGTAATCATGATTTAACATTTTGGCATAAAAACAGCAAATTTCTTCAGAATCATTCGATAAAGTCATTGGTTTACCATCATAATAGAAACGTACGTTTGAAGGTAATCGTTCATATTCTGGTGGAAACAAGGGTCCTTTGTGTTCTAAGAAATTCCATTTTATACTATCATCACGTTTTTCTTCCTCCCACCTAAAATTTTTTAATGTTTTTATTTCATTTTCTATTTTCAATTTTTGTTTATTATTGGATTTAATTGTTAAACTACTAATATTAGGCGAATTGAGTTCAAGATTTTTTACTAAAATTTTTCTTCTACTGTATAATCTTCTGCATATAAAATAATATTTATAGTATCTGTATGAATAGTATGGATTCCATAATGCTATTACGTTTTTAAAATTCAAATACATCTTTATTAAATAAAAATTTTTTTGTAAAATAAAAAAAATTTCTTCGTTATAAATTACAATTCCACATTTTTCAATCAATACTATATTTGTCTATATGACAGCAATGTCAAAAACTAGATTTTTTATTTATAAAATACAGGTAGCACAGTATACATAGCTAACCAAAAATATCTTCAGCTACATTATTGCTAAACTTTCTGTTTCAGAAACAATTTTAAATGCTATCACATCATCTAGATATGAGTATATGTACATTTACTCTTAGTTTCAGTGAAATACAAAAATACATACATAAAGAATAATTTATGCACGTTGGTGTATTTCTTTGTATGAAACGTAAAATTTTAAATGACAAAATTTAAACGAAAAAATTAAATGTATTAAAAAATTACAAAATAATAAAAATTATCAATTTCTTAATAAAATTTACTAACCATCTCCATACATCTTCAGGCTCTTCTTCAGCTTTCTTTTTTCTACCTCCTTTTGTTGGTGATTCTTCTGTTTTAATTACATTATTGGCTGGCTTTTTAATTTTTTTCTTCTTAGGTTTTTCGTCAAATTCTTCATCATCGTCCAAAGCACCACGCTTCTTCTTTTTGACAGCAGCTGCAGTTTTACTTTTTCGGCTAGCTAATGGGACATCTTCATCGCTTTCTACTTTTATTGCTTTTTTCCTTGCCAACAGAGGAGTATCCTCCTCACTATCTTCTTCAACTTTTATTTCTTGCTTTACTTTTTTCCGACTACTTAAAGGCATATCTTCTTCATCACTATCTATAATAGGCGCTTTTCTTTTCGAAAGGGGAATATTTTCATCATCATCTTCTTCTTTTATTTCTACTTTACGTTTCGATAAAGGAACATCTTCTTCATCGTTCTCGTCTTCATTACCGTATTCATTATTTCCACAACCAATCGGATCTTGTGAAGCTTCATCGAAATTATTTTGGCTTTCGTCCATGTCAAGTTTTTGTGAAAATGCAGATTCGTCTTCTCGAAATTGTGACATTGAATAATCACATGAACTTGCTTGACTGGCATTAAACATTTCATTTTTAACCACATTGTTTCGTGGTTCCTCGATAATATAGTGATTTTGTTGAGTTGCTGTATCTTCTTCTTTAAGATAAACTTCATTGATACCATTAAAATTGCAATTATTTAACATAACTTGCTCTGTTTCATTATTTATATAACCATTTTCTAATTTTGATGAATTTTCGGCAGGTTTTGATGATTTTTCTTTATCTCGTCGTTTTTCCCTATCTCTGTCCTTATCTTTTCGATCTTTGTCCCTATCCTTGTCTTTAGATCTATCTTTGTCCTTATCTCTATCTCTGTCTTTATCTTTTGATTTTGAAGAACTTGAATTGGAATGTTTATCTTTTGAGGATGAAGTCGATGATTTTTGGCGGTCTTTGTCCTTATCTGACCTATGTTTATCTTTGTCAGATGAACGTTCTTTATCCTTTGAGCTTGTTTTATGATCTTTTGAGCGATCTTTGTCGCTGCTTTCTTTTGGCCTTTCATCTTTAGATGAACGTTCTTTGTTATCGCGAGACGATTTATCTTTTTCTTTATCCTTATGTGAAGACCGTTCTTTATCTTTATCACGATGTTTATCTTTTTCTCTATCACGGTCCTTATCTTTTGAAGAAGAAGATGATTTATGATTTGATGATGATGACGATGATTTATTTTTATCTTTGTCTGAGGATGATTTTTCTTTATCTTTGTCACGATTTTTATCACGATCTTTATCACGATCTCTATCACGATCTTTATCACGATTCTTGTCGCGTTCTTTGTCACGATCTCTGTCACGATCTTTATCACGATATTTATCTTTATTGCTACTAGATGAGCTTTTAGAATAATCTTTTGAATTGCTGCTGCTCTTAGTTTTATCACGATCCTTATCTCGATCTCTATCTTTATCACGATATTTATCTTTACTTGATGATTTATGTTTATTGCTACTTGATTTATCATGTGAAGAACCATTCATTTCTATATGGCCATTGCTTAAGCCATTTATTGGTTGAGAATCTCCGTTGCATGATTTAACACCCTGTAATTTAGAAAAAAAATGAACGTTTATTTAAAAAACATTTTTTTTTTAAATTTTGAAAAAAAATTTTTGGAGATCAGTAAATTAACTATTTAGACTTGGTATACTTGAGCATATTAACAAAAATATTTTTTTCTTATTCAATTATTTGAAATAAAAAAGTAGTAGATTATTTTTATATTTATGCTTTCTGGTTGTTGTGTTTTTTATTTTTGTGTCTTATATTTTATAAACTTAACATTATTTTCCATTTCAATTAGTTGATCCAAAAAAAAAAATACTTAATGAAAAGCTTAGCTAACACACATGGATCCGAATTAGTAAACAAATAAAAGCGAAAAAACTATGGCAAAAAATATAAAATGAATTTGCAGAAATGCTAAACTTTATACTTTGGTGTTTTTCTATCTTCATTTTTTTTTCAATTCACACGGAAAATAATGTTGTAGTAATCAAATACCGCAAGAAAACAAATACTAACGGTAGAAAATGAAGAAATAGTAAGAGAGAAAACAAAATTAAAACGCTAATTTTAAAAATCTTAAATGTCTTTTAGAAAAATTTACGTTCCCTATAAGAAATATTTGATTAAACAAAACATAAAATAAATCAAAAAGTTTAAAGGAATCTGTTTATTTTCCCTAAAATTTTTAAACTAATCAAATAATTTTTAAAGTAGCTTTCAAGCACACCATAAACATAATTAAAAAAATATTGCTTTTAGCCCATTCCCATGTGGGTTACTAGATAGTGAGCACGACTAAACCGTTCTTGTATTTCACTGGCTATTTTCACTGGAGTATGGCTTTACATATTTACTTATGAAGTCAGACTTCTTCTTAGTACAATATGGGTCGTGAAACAACTAGATTTGTCCACTATTTACATAAATTTGAATAATAAGTGTATTTATTATTATTATACATTGTTATCTATTTGTCCATAAGTAATTTTAGAGCGACCATATCACAAGCATAACGACAAATTTTCTCATAAATATCTACATATGTACATAAAAATTTATGTATGTTTGTATGAAAACATCAAAGTATTAACCATATTAATAATTTATCTTTCATAAATTTAACACACATTTAATATAATGGATGACATTTATAAATAAATATATAGAATATATTTTTACACGATAGACGTAAAAAGTAATAGAACTATATTATACATAGGTTACGTAGATGTAAATATATATAATGTATGTTATGCCACCATGTATGATATAATAATATGTAAGTGTGTAGAAAACACATGTGTAACAAGTTGACCTAATTTAATCTTTTTTCTCCTCTCTGTTACAAAATGATTATTTAAAAAAGAGAAGACCTTCTTTAAATATTGAAATATACATAAATATAGATATCTAATAGTTTTTTATTTTATTTTTTGTTGTTGTATGGATCTCTACACAATATTGAACACCTATATGTATACCTATATTTAAAATTATTTATAGTAAAATTAAATAAAAAAAAAATGTATAAAATTTTAATAGAAAGTAAATTTTTTTCTGTTAAAACACTTTCGATTTTTATATTTCAACTAAATATTACTATCTGTACATATACATTCACTAATTACACACACATATACAATAATTTACATAAATATATATTTAAATTTTATGTAAATAGGTGGCACTAGTATACTTATATACATACCCCTGGTTTCTTCATTGTTAAAACATTTTGAATTTGAAATTCGTTGTGCATTACTTAAATAAACATTGATATGCAAGTACATTTATGTACATATGTACACATTTGTATGTATTATGTATGTTGAAGCAAAAAGCGAATACATATTAGATACGTTGCAGTTAATTGACGCTTATATTTTATAATATTTCACCTTATTATATTGCAATTTTTATTGACTTGGCAGTTTCTTTGTTTTTTTACTTAAATTTCAATTTTTCTAACTGGAGTACTAAAAATTTGAAAAACAATTAAACATATTTACAAAATTCATTTCTTTGTCAGACATTTTGATTTGAAATTGATTCAAATATCATTGGAAAAAGTTTAGTGGGTTCTAAAATATTGTCCTATTATGACAAATTTGGATGAAATGATTGCATAAGAATACTTAATTTGACAAAAACATTTTACACTTGTTATCCTCTATAAGAAACATATGTATCTATATATATATAACATATGTGTGTACATTATTATGTGGATACACCTGTTATTCTTTTAACATAACATATTATCCTTAACTTGTTGCTAACTTGTATTTTATACTCCATTTTTTTTCATAATTATAAAAATATTATACAAAATAATGAATGAAAAAGGTCAAGGGTATTTCTAATAAAACCAGTTTTATATTTAAGAAACAAAAAAAAATTAAAAAATAAAACACAAAAATTGAATTTTATACACACACCGGTTACCTTCTTTGTCTCAAACAAAAAAAAAAAAAAAAAAAAACGAAATAAAAAAAGAGAAAAAAAAAATACTCATAAATCTCAAAAAGTGTAGCTGAAATTTTTTTTTTTAAATATTGTTGTTGTTGGCTTTCCTTATAAGATTTGCTAAAATCTTAAAACTACTAAAACCGCAAGAAAAAAAAATTTTCTTATAAATAGCAACAGCAACAACAATACTAGGAGAATATAATGAAACTGCTTTTTTTATATAATTATGCAAAATTTGTCGCGCGACTTCTTTAAGTCTATAAAGTAGATATGTATGTACATAAAAAATTTCTTCTTAGTCACACAATAAGGCAACAAATCATAAAAAAAATTCATTTAGCTCATAATTTTATATGATATAAAATAAAATAACATACTAATATTAAAACATTTTTTAATATTTTATCTTTTTCCACTCGATATTTTGTAGGTATGCAAACTTGAATTGATTTCGAATAAAATTTTTCAATTTTAAATTTTCTTATACAATCTAAATTTTAATAGGTATTCAGTTAAAAATAGTTTAATTTTTAATAACAAATTTATTTATATGAAAACATAATTTTCTACTCGCAGATACTATTAAAAATTGTGAAAATGTTGAGCAGAATAACTGAATTGGAACAAAATAATAAAAACTTTAATGCAAATACAATATTATTATTTCGCAACGAACACCTATAAAGCTTTTGTAAGCAGTTATGTGTGATAAATGATTTCCTTTTTCTTTTCTTTTTGCTTTTTCTTGGGTTATCATCGACGACACACTTCCAATTTTATAACGAAACGAACAATACATAATATATATGTAATAAAAAAAGTTCCAAATTTTAACAATATTTATATATTTTTTTTTTGTTTTAAGTGACAATGACGATTATTTCGTCATGTACATGTATGCATTCATACATATAATATACCAGTTTCCTGTTTTTTTTATTTATAATACATAATACCTGTTCACTTATGGTTATTTTTTTTTTTTTTGTGCATAATAGGTATCTAAATTTCCATCGAAATGCCAACATTTTAAAATGAAGATAATTCTTAAGTATATGAATTTTGATTTTTAGAAAAATTTCAAAAAATCCGAAGGAATTACTTATTCCTCGAATTCCAAATTCTATTGCACGAGATTTTATACTGCACTTAGATGAATGAGTAAACAAGATACTACTCCAATTCATTTTAATTTGGAAAAATTAAATAAGTTTTTATCCGAATTCATACAATAACTTAAAAATAAACTGGACATTAATCTATTTAAACATAAGCCATTATAAAAAGTAACAACAATTTAACCGTCTGAAGTAGTCTGAACCATCCGACGAATCTGCAGAATTAGCAGAAATTGATACCGTAAAATCTTTAGGCAATAGCTGGCCAATACACTTCGTATACCGGGATTGACACACGTTCGACGAATGACTTCGTTTTAATTAATAAAATTTTGAAAAAAAAAATTTTAAATAAAAAATTCACTTAGTTTTGCACAATTTCAAAAAAAAATATACGATAATGAAAAATTTAAGCTTTAAAAAATTCATAAAAACTTGTAAGGAAAAATTTTATGTTGAAAATAAAAAATTAAAATATTGCTTAATTTTTCTATTACTTTTCACTAAGTCGTTTATATTTTCATGTATGTATGCAAGTGTTTACATATTTCAAGCATATTTTAAACTCATGAGATAGGAAGTCATTTCAACTCATAAAAAAAAAAAAAGTTGGTTAGATAAATCTACCTACCCTAACGAAAAACACTTGAATACGGTTTTGTACTACATATACTGGAATTTTTGAGTCGTTAAGACTTTGAAATTTACGATATCAGGGTGTTAATCCTAGTCTTTCTATTATATCAATTTCTATTTTTGCCAGCAAATGAAACATAAAGAACTCTATCGAAAATGTACTGGTATAAATTTTCAATAGCTTGTTTAATTGCGAAAATTATTAATATATGAATATGTGACTAAGATCTATGTATGTATATGTAAATAATATGAAAAAGAAAAAGATTTTGTTTGTCTAACATATATTTTTTTATATGTATCATACTACGCAATATTTACATATGTATATACATAGATAAATATTAATAAGTGATTAACTCTTAATTTAAAAATTTTTCGACATTTCTATATATTTAATATGGATACATATGTGCACACATTTGTATATTAATTTACTTGTTATTAACCTATATTTATTAACATATAAATGAAACTATTGAATATATTAAATTTTTCGATATATTTTATATTCTTTAAGCATATATGTTATACATTACGTTTGTATGAATTTATTTATATATACATATACATAGCTTTATAAAAATCTCACACACATATCCACTTAAAGAATCAAGTGAAAAGCAAAAAAAAAAAAAACAAATGTTAAATAAAAATCACATGGTGGAAGGTCATTGACATTTTAGTTATCATAACCAAAATTTTATTTATGATTTTATACACCCTATTTATATATACATAATTAATATGATAGTTCTTATATATTATTATATATATATATATTATTTATATATACTATATGTACATAATAA